GTCCTGGTCAGTTCTGAACGATTGTGAACACAATATTTTGAAAGAATAGAATATTTTGAAGTGTACATGTCGATGAGAGTGAAAGAAATTCATAAATCAGGTCGAAACGGAACGAAACGAGAGGAGACCGGTCGAAGGGAAAAAACCGAAAATATTTCTTTATTGGAGGCACCGATCGTTACAACTTATCTTCATCATCCTGTTGAACAGAAAAGAGAATTCGCCCGTCGGACTATCGATTCAATCAGTAGAAATATCTAATTTATCATCTAATAGCCGAAATTTATCACACGTTTCGGTTCTTTTAACCAAAAAGCGGAGATTTATGGTAGGTATACGGGCGCTCGACGAATCTGCGGTTGAAACAAAAATATAGCGGCGGCAAAAAATAGTTTTATATAGTACTTTGTATAGGGAGAGCGTCGGTGTAATAGAGATTTTTGTCGCGTTATTAATCTCACGCTTTCCACCGCATATACATGCACTTTCATAGTTAGACAATTCTTATATCTGTTTCCACGCGAAAATAACGATCATCTCTAATTTTAACGAGGTATTTTATAGCAGCCTGGCAGCGGATTAATTACTCGGTAGATTTTCTAATTAACGAAGCGACCGCAATTGCATTTACCCCATTTAATTCGAATTTCAAGGCGCATTAACTTCTCCTTGCGATTGTTTCGCTTTCCGACTGTCGAAATCCGAAATTAATTGGGATCGAATGAATTCCAGTGTAAGAAAAATCTAAACACTATCGCCCCCGCGCGGGGCATATTTTCCTTGTTATCTTTCCCGCCGCCGTCGAGAAAAAAACTTTTCCTATTGGATTATATCCGGACTAACGAGACAAAGTTCCTTTTATATTCCCTTTTCGCAGCCATCCGGTCGTGATGAGTCTCCGTTGTCTCGGAGTGTTACCCCCACGTAGCCCCGAGTCGCGTATATCCTTGCTATATCTTAATACTTCCCTTTTCTCGTCTCTTCTCTTCTATTTCTTCTCATTAAGTCCCGTGTTGGGTTGCCGTCGGAGGCGGGATTTTGTCGCTCTGTCTGTTGTGCTGCGTCGGGAAAAGGTAATTTATATGAAATATTCAGATAGCTATTAGGGCGCCAGGCGTTGAGGTAAAAATCGCTCGATTTCCGATTAAATTCTCCGCGAAAATTGATAAACGACTGGGAATAATATTGCATATTATTCTGCGACATAATTAAAATGTTTTTCGAATCGCTCGAGTTTAATTAATAAAAATTAATAACGCCAATCGGATGTAATAATCATCGGGCTACCGAAAACCCGCTAAAACTCGTTCGATTTTGCACCGTTTCGAGGGATAAACGAAATTGGAAAATAGATAAACTCTCGGGCGGGTAATTTTTACAAACAAACTTCCGGGCGAAGCACAAATCCTGTTCTCGGTATCAATCAGATAAATCCGCGATAGAAATCGAACCGTTTGTATTCCACCTCAATCGAAGCGAACTTCATTATTATTTCCAACGGTGATCCGATTCTAATTCTAATTAAAAAGCGAATTAACGTTTAAAGCAACACATCGATATATCAATACTTAATAGCAGCAGCTATTTAATATGCAAATAATTCCTGGAGCAGCTCGTTTATAAAGATTGCATAAGTTCGCGCCTTGCTTTCCCGGGAGCTACCTTCGCATGCTTATTATCGCGTTTACCAGATAATTTATTTTTATTTATGGAATTTAATTATGCCCGGAACACAACGGCCCAACGCCGGAGTATTAGGTGGGTAATTTATGCCTCCGACGCCGCCGTCGCCAGCGGAAAACAATTTTCATAAATGCTACTTCTCGCGCTTAATCCCGAAAACACAGAACCAACGCACAATTAGTTTTTATACCGGAAATAATACGCAATAATACTCGTAATTATCGGGGCGTAATGAAAAAAATATCGAAAAAAACACTCCGAATTAAACCAGCAGGAGTTTTTAATAATTCATCCACCAGCGAAATCCGCACACTTGTTTGTCCGTCATTAATACGCAGCTGTTGCCCTTCTTGCTTTCGAATTAACGTTTTTTTCGCCGCCGATTCGGCCGAAAAAACCGCCATAATTATATCGGGGAGTTCGGATTAAAATCCATTAACAACCACCACGTCTGTTGTGAATTATCGAATTCGATTCCGAATATCCCAGGTTTGTTTTTCTTTCTCTTAGCAATCGTGTTTCGAACAGTAATCGATCAGAATTCATAAATAAGAGTTCTTGATGATAATGATACAAACTTAAATTAATAAAATCTTCTTTCTATTAGGGATCAAGCTCTCTTAAAACACAAAACTATCGAATTAACCTCGAGTTTATTTGCTTACGTGAGTAATTACGATGATGCTGTTAATTAATAAATTAATAACGTGAGTAAGTACCAAAATATTAATTGGGAAAAATTGGATTTAATAACGGTCGATCGGAGGGCGGCGCGTTTTTTAATAGCCGCGCGTTTAGGAAAGTTTCCTCGAAGTTAAATTGGAGTCTCCCAAAAGAAAACACCTGATCAAATAAAACGGTATCAAAAGTTGGACAGGAATAGGTATCTTATCCGGCAAGTCGTTACAAGTTTCCTAATTCAATTCCCCCCGTAGTGCAAGGTCAATGTGGGGAGATTTTTTCCCCGCGATTTTCTAAACACCACCCGAGCGCTCGTCGATTTCGGGAAGTTATTCGAATCGAAATTTGCAATTAATGCAGAAGGTATAAAGTCGATGCTCTAGCAGTTTCGCTTTACTTGCAGGATTAACTAGAGTAATGAAAAGAGGTCATATATTTCTATGTCATCATTATTTCAGTTATCAGAAAAAATATTAGTAATGTTTATTTTCCACATGCTATTATAGTTGATAATCGTCATTGATAAAACCTTATGTATCATATAATACTTCGAAACATAAAACCCTGATAACAACATACTTCTGATAAAGCAAAAAGAGATAGATAATCCTCTTAGATATAGAAAAACAAAATTAATTAAACGCGAAATCCGCCCCCGGGGGGCTGTTTCGCTACTCACCCATTGCAAGACGTTGGCGAAGAGTATCACGTATTTGATGACGGCAATCTGATTTTCCAATTTGAGTATGCTCGCCTCGCCTTTGCCGTCTCCTTTCCCTGCCATTTCGCCGCAACAAAGCCGAGCAAAGCTGTACACACACGCGCGCCCCCGACGTAGAAAGAAAGTTGAACACAGAAACGCCGGAGACAAGAAGTCGAGGAAACCGATACCGCACTTTGTCGGGAAGAAGAAAAGCTCAGACGGGAACGTCGCGCTTCTAACTATAACAGAGAGTCTCTTGGTTCTTGCGAAATTAATTTTGCCCCACCTATTTGCTGGCGATGATAAGATAATGATTTTATCGTTAATTAAACAATATCCTGTAGATGTGTTGTATGTATGTGTTTAGATGATTCACCTGTTGGTGCGTTGTATTTTTTAAGCAATAAATAATACCTACACTTGTGAGATAAATCTAAAATTTTTTATGTATATTCTAGTAATCTATATCTATATAAGTTTTGAATTTGTTCACAACACTTTTAGGATCATTTAAAACTGTCCAGAATGATCAAACAACAGTTCAAGATGTTTGTACCTACTTAGAGCTATTCAAATTTATTTAGAACTATTTGGAACTGTCTAAAAAAGTCCAGAACGCCTTCAGGATTATTTAGTACACTAATTTAATAAATATTCTATATCCTGTTTCATATTGGTTGTTTCAAAATTAATGCGAAAAATAATAACGTGGCAACGCTGCAATTATGCGAGTTTGTGATGTCAGCGTGGGAGATTAAAACATGAACGTAGTGGAGAATAGTATAAAAATTTTATAGTCATAATTTGAATGCATAGAGTAAAATTATAATGGAAACTCCGGAGGAAAGTTGAACAATCGGGCTGATTTTCTCCCGCTCCCTTCGGGCCCCCTTGTAGTTTTCGGACTTGCCGCAAATTGGAAAATTGGAAACTTCTCCAACTCCGTCGCTGATACCGAATAATGAACTTTCAAATAGGAGTAATTTGTGGAGTTTTTAAATCGTCTCCTTCAATTTCTTCACTCCGATTTCACTCATTCAGTTCGACTCGGAATAAAATTAAATCTATAGATTGAAAAACTTTTATCTCGGGCTCCGGGACGCGCCGAAAGAGAATTTCCACCGCTCCGTGCCCGGGGGGCTTTTTCTTTCTTTTTAATTCCTCATTGTTCAAATTTGTTTATTCCTTCCAGCTATTCCGATTTCCAATTAGATTCGATGGTGATTCTCCGGCAGTTTTCGAGTGTTCCAGCTCGGATATTAGGTTTCTCAAACAGATGGAAATATGTTTAATGTACTTTTAGGTGCTATGCGCAATTAGATTGTTCCTACTATATTGAATATCTAAGTACCTATTGACATATTTCCGAGGATTCGTGTTTTGTATGCGATATTTCGCATAACTTATTATAAATTGCCCTCGTATTTCACCGAAAAGTTGACATTGTAAGTATCGAATTCCAAGCAACTTCTGCTGACCCTCATATTTCGTTAACGGCTTGCCTCCAAACTCGAAATTGGAAGTAAACATATATATTAATGGGTAAAATATGGTCGACCTTTAGGTCACATCCATTTCGAAGGAATTACGTTTAACAGAATCGCTTTTCCCCGAAAACTTCAGTTTTCCGGATATATTATAGGAGTTTTTTTATACGCCATTTGTTAGTCCTAAACTTTTTAAATAAACGACTATACAGTTCGCTTTCAAATCCAGTAATTATCCAAATGCAACAAAGTTTATATACACAATATTCGCTTTTACTGAACCGTATTGTTTTTCCGAAGCTATTTGTTGATCTTTTCATCGTAAGAAATTATTTATTAAAAATTGAATAGCTTCTAAAGTAATTGATGAATAATAAAAATATTGGAGTAACCATTTGCTTATTAGATGTATTTCGATGTGTCGATGGTCATTTTATCATACAACCATGAGCAGTTTACTTGTCTACACGAAAATATTGAGAATTACGAGATATTTGGGCATGAGAACGAATCACAAAGAAGCCGAAACCACCATGGATGAGATCTTTAAATACTTCAACTTGATAATCACTATTATATTTTGTTTGTGTGAATGTGGGTTTATCTATTTGGACCAGAGTGGACGCACCACAGACACAGTAATATTTACATTGAACCGTTTGAACCATATAATCTTCATCTTCGGCATGTGTTATACGAGATTCAAATGCACGAAGACTTTGAACAAATTTTTCACCAACATGGACCACCTCGCTGATTCCCTACCGGAAAACTCGAAACTAGCAAAGGAAACGTTGTTAATTTTACTAACCACCTCAGCGATCGGTTTAAACCGAATACCCAGCCATTTTCGCATCGAACAAAAAACGCTGAATTTCTTGATTTGGCCCAAACTCGCGGTCACTACCGTTTGGTACACGGTTTCGATGGTATGCACCTGCAACATGCTGGATATCAACAACAACGCTATAAAGCAAACCTACAGATTTCTGAAGCAGACTCCGAGCAATTGCAACAACTCAGATTTCATGTATCGACTGCACTACTTGAAGAAAAACCTGAATTTGATATCGAGCAATTTGAAATGCTTCAATAAAATTTTCGGATGGATCTGCCTGTCGTTGTACCTGGATTTCGCGTTGAATATTATTTATGCGTTGCAAATAACGATGGGTAAACAATCGTTTTTTCCCATGCTACGCTGGATAGAAATTTCTCAGTGTACTTTACACGCGGTAAGTCCTTGTGATAGCTTCCTTAATAAATTATTACCAGGCTCTGTTCAATGCACTTATGGTAGCCGCATTTTTATTTCCGCAACAACATTTATTGCGGCAGTGAATTTGAATAATTCGTTGTTACTGTCGGTTTTTTTAATCGATTTCCGGGAGTGTAGGTAATGTTAGACCGGCAGTTGGATAGAGTTTTATTGAAGAATATAAATATTTAATATAAAATATATTTATGTTGTTGTTAGGTGAACGCCGTTACGTTGGTAAACAAATGCGATAGAATCGAGAAGAACATCGGCAAATTCGTGGCGGTTTGCTACGGTTTCCACCAGAACATACCCGATAAATGGTCGATCGTGCGCGAGGAGATGATGAATTTGGGCAATTACGCCGAGAAAACGATGCCCAAATGCTCAGCGGCGGGATTTTTCACCCTAAACAGATCCACTTTGGGCGCCCTCTTCTCCTCTATCGCCACCTATTTGATCGTTTGCATACAATTCAATATGAGCGAAGCGCAGAAGTAGCAATTTCTGTAGTAGCATAAAATTTATTTAGCACGGGACAACCGGTATGCAATAAATAGAAGTTCGTCGGAAAAGAAAAGTTTACTCTGCAATCGCCTATTGAGCAAAGTTGGCTCGCATTTCGACTCGGTGGATTTATTTTAATTCGGAGTTAACGAGAACCTCGGCGGGCAATACAAAAGCGGACGAAGAAAAGGGAGCGCTAGTTGTCTCTAGGTGTGCGCTGAATATTTATAAACTCCCTCCTACTACTTTTCTTTCGCCATTTGTTTCGTTTGCTAACTTTTTAATTGAGTTATTTTTCGAAAAATAAACGAAGCACTTCTTCTTAAACGGGAGAACGCCGGGCGATTTTCCCGTTGTTTTCGTTTTCGCTCAACTTTATTCCGATGCAAGCCGAGTTTATTACTAGAATATGACTTTTTTATTTGCTCTCCTTAGCGTTAATTAATGGCTCGAAGAGTTTTTAATAGTATTGGAAATTATGGGAAAACGTTCACTTTACTATAGCGTGGAAAAAGGGAGAATCTGATATGAAATACCAGGAGAATTTCTTTACTGGGTAACGATCTTTTATCGTATTTTTTCACATTTGTCGGAATTTCCACTCGATCAATGAGCTATTCGCATGCAGATAAAAGAAATAAAGCGTCGACATATTTACAATTAAGGTGAATTTTATATGTTCGTTCCGAGTTAAAAGTTTCCAATGGCAACGTTGGATAGGAATTTACGAGGGCGATATACAGGGTGTGCGAAATAGGCATAATTCGGGCAATAATAGTGAGAGTTCTCGGGCCAAATTGACTTCTGGAGAAAGTTTTATTAGGTCGGATGCAAACGACGCCGACGGCGATATAAAAAAACTTTATCCATTTAGGAAAAACGTTCAGAGTTTTCTTACATATCGCCCGAATCTTCGGGCTATTCCAAATTTTTCTCGAATTAACATGAGGCACCAAATAATTTTAACTAAACTAGAATTTTATTTGTTAAAAAATATATCTACAATAAACATGTATTAATATCAATAAATTACACGCTAATATCAGTACAATTCTATTCCCTAACTATACAGATTCTTAACTAATTAATTTACAGAAGCAATTAATTTTTGATTTCAAGAATATTTTACCAATTGATAATAATGCTTATAGTATGTATGTACAAATAATGATACAGTGTATAGTCAGTTCGATTCGAACGCTTACATTGCCCATTAACAGCCACTGGACTGTTCAAAATTTACGATTTTTCCGGCGCGTTTTTCCCCGGAACAGTCCGGATTATTCGTATCTGGTCAATGCCGTTCTAACCGAAACGAACGTTAAAAATATATATTACCGTTTCACAAATAAAACTAACAAACTTAAATTAACGGAATAGAAAACGGTGGATAAATTTAATTTGTAATTTGCACCATGAATTAAACCTATCTTAATCTAATTAAAAGTAGAAGTTTTTTGTAGGTAATTTGCAGCACCACAAATACTTACACCAACCAATTATCTTACGTAATTCAAAAAAAATGTTCTTCAATAGAAGATATAGTAAATAAAATTCCACAAAAAAAAATAGACCACACCTGGTGAAGACTAGCCAAAAACATTCAAATTGGTAACAAATTTTCCTAAATTCGACTACATCCTAACCGACGAACGGATACCCTGGAAACGGAGCCGGATAAAATCCGGGATAACCTCCCGCTCCGGGCACCGGAACGGAAGCCGTAACATAAGAAGTCGTCACCGTAGGTACAACAGTCGTGGAGTAGATCGTCGTGTGAGCAGTTTTAGCCCCGAAAGTCAACTTCAAAACCTTACTGTTGGTTTGGGTAACAGAAGTGGTTTGAACGACGGGCGACGAGGTCACGGCGAATTGTTGTTGAGGCTGGGGCAGGAACGGGTTCAACTGGGGCAATTGCGGCTGAAGAGGCAACTGAGGCAACTGGTGCTGGAGCGGATTCAGTTGAGGGAACGACGGGCCGATGGTGCTGGTGCCGAATTCGTAGTCGGTTTTGGTGATGGTGCCCTTCAATTTCGAAATGGTGCTTTGGATGGTGTTGTGGCCTTGAGTGACCGGTAAAATGAACGTTTCGTACAAAGTTTCGATTCGTATGACGGGTTTCGACGTCGTGATGACCTGCGGTTGGGCGGCGTTGGGATTCAAAAATCTGTAGAGGGCCAGCTGTTGCAATTGCTCGGGGCTCACCGGCTGCTGCAATTGTTGGTGGTTCAAATCGTTCGAGACGGGCTTGGCGGGTTTCTTCGACTTCAAATGACCTTCTATTTTCGTTTTATCCACGTCCGATATGTCGAATTTGGAGCCGATGTTGGCCAGATCCAAATCGGCCGGCAGAGTCACCTTCCTCACCGGCTCTTCCTGATCGTTTTGATCGCCGAATTCGAGTTCCAAATGCAATTCCGAACCGGCCTCGTCCAAATGGCTGTTGAACTCGTTCAACGTTTTACTCGGAATGAAATGATAAGCCTCCATCGGCGGAAGGGTTTTGGTCGCAGTCACCAATCTGAAAACAAATTTGCAACATTCTAATAATATATATATTTTTTTAATTAGTAGCATTCCGAGTTTAAAGGTGTAATTTCACGAGAGACGTCGCAGGCAAGGCGCCGTATAAAGTTCCACGTCGCTAATGACAGCGATAAAATTGCAGCATAATCCTCCGGAGCTCTCGACTACATGATTATTTATGTCCAATTTTGAGTCATATTAAATTCTGTAACGCGCCCCGACCGTGACAATTCCTTCGCAACACCGGAACACCTCCGAATTAACGGGAGAGAGACGAGAGCGCTATCGGACTTGTGTAGCAATTAACTGCTCTCCTCGAGTTAACGAGACTCGTCGCGTTATTAAGGGGTTGTAAGTGTATACAGAGGGTAGTCTATTCACTCACCTGGTTATCAGATAGGTTTGCACCAGCGTGGAGCTGCTGGTGTCGTTGCCGTTCCGAACCACCGGCAGTATGTGAGTTTTGAGCATGGTTTGGGTGGTGTTGAAGGTCTCCGTGAAGGTTTCGAGCGGCGGGGTTACCATATCGGAGGCGAGGTATAATGGAGGCAGCGTCGCGACGCTGGAATCGAGGAAATTGTTGTCTTTGGCGTAGTTGCTGGACGTCGCCAGGATGTTCTCGGTGAGCGGTTCGGTGGCCTTGATCATCGGATCGGCGGTGTGTTCAAGGCTTTTTTCGAAGGTCGAAGTCACCGTGACGTACCTGGTGTTTTTCACGCTACCCACCTGGAATGGTAATTGTTGGGGAAGAAGTTTCATCGGCGCGGAAAAGTTTTCTTATTGATTTTTCCGGCCGATAACTCCGAAATCTAAAATTCACTTTGAGGGCGAATTACCTGCTCCCTCTGTACTTAAAATTAGGAATAAATGGAGTTTTTCCTCAAAGTGATGACTCCCTAATCGGATTTTCGTCTCCTTAAAATGCTGAAGGGAATTTTTCGCCGGCGCTGCGGAGGAAATAAAAGAGGAAAAACGCGGCCGTTTATTTTTTTTCTCCCGCGCCGTAGATAATAAGCGATTACTGAGAAATAATAAATTTTTAACGGGCCATGGAAATAAGCACTTATACAAGAGTGTAGCGCGTTTTTCCGGGAGTAGGAAAATATGAATAATAAATCGCGGGATGTTAGGCGTTCGGATTTGATGAGTTGTTTTCAAGATTTCATAAAAAAATATTTAATGGTGTTTTTAACGGCGCTCGCGAAGGAAGTAGTATTAGGTTTAATAATTGATGCGGACGAAATTCGGGTTTATTTCCGCTACTTTTTACGTTGATTTTTTATTAATGATCCCCGCCGGAGAACGGAAGGTTTTTTCTTATAAATAAGGATAAAAAAACGCGTGTAATCTCTTCCAAAAAAAAAATAATAATAAAAAAACCTCGCTAATTTTTGGCCCATCAGTTCCGATTCGGCAGAAGGGCTTCGAATCCCTTTCTCGATTCACCACGCCGAAACAAAAAAGCAAAAAGGGGAAAATTGATAAGCCGAACGTTCACATTTTTCACCGCCGCGTTCCGCAAATAATAATTTACAGCGTATTTCAAAAGTGTGACAAGTACAGGGGTTAACACCGTTGCCTGTTATCACGCACTAGTGCGTGATGTCACCTGGTACACGAGCCCTGTAAGGCAAGTCTACAACAGAACCCACTTAGCCCAAAAAAATCCACCTAATTACATATTTCATACTACTAATTTAAATTGAAAATACACTGAAAAATGTATTTAATAAAAAATAAATAACCAATCCGTTAGTATATCATTTTCCAGTCAAACGAACAGGTTTATAATTTACCTACATTAAAATGCCTGAAGGACTGAAAAGTCACATCGGATTAACTGTGGGGGAATTTTCCGGGCTAATGAGTAACGTGGGCGGGAGATCGTTAAGGTGAAAACTTGCGTGTAAATATCGAAATTTTCGCCTCGACAATTTTTGTATTTCCCAACGAAACAGTTAAAATTTAATTGAATAGCCGGTAGTGTAAATTTTAAGTTTCCAAACAGGGGTTATTGTTAATTACTTCGTATTACAGACGGCAGTAATGTCGGATATTAAACTAACCATTCTACGTAAGAATACTAAGAAAATAACCGAGTTTTAGTGGGTTATAAATTTCGTTTCATACTTACAAGGATTATCAGTAGCAACTTTATCTATAATTACGGTATATTCGCTTGATGAGTTCGTCTGCAGATTGGGCGTTATTTACTCTTATTTACGTCGGTAAGTAACCAACAAAATAAACTTTTATTAAAGGAACTAAACTGGCAACAACTATCCAAAGAAATATACTTAATTAAGGACGAAATTGTATTAGATATTCCATCTTAATTATCGCGCCTATAGTTAGGAAAAATTCATATTAAATTCCTCAATGCAGGCTTTCTAAATATTCTTTCAGATTCAGAAGTTTTCTGAAGGGTTAATTGTAGACTAAATTTTTGACTCGCGCTGTTAAATATATTTCAGATGATAGAAGAATTTGTTGATTAATTGTATGATGACTATAGGGTACTCGATACACTCGCCCTGATGCTTATAAACCAATTTGTTCCGTAGATGTTTGTTTGTTGTTATCGAAACGCGAAGAAAACCTGATTACCTGGAAAGTATATGGCGACTTAATGGTGGCAATCTCGTAGTAAATATCCCCGAAATCGGACGGCGCCGAAATTTCGACCTTAATCGTCTCGACTGGAAAGGCTGGCAGAGCCGCCTCCCGCTCCTCATCTGGATCGGGATTCGCGTCCAGCTTATTCCCCGTCGCGCTACCGTCGTCAATAATTGAAGCAATTGATTCGGAACCTTCTAGACTGTCGACGTCGTCGGATCGGGCCTGGGACGTAACGACGTCGTTGATCGGGGATTGCGGGCCCTCCTGCGGGGCCGGGGGCGGCATCGGCGAGGACGGGACTTCGTTATTGTTCGCCGCCGCGTCGCTGTTTTGCTTTCGGATAGTTACCCGGGGCCTCGAAGTGGTTTTGTACTGCCATCTGCCCGGAGATCTTTAACGTAGATAATACGCCGTAATGAGATTCGGTTTCCTTGTTAGCCGGGAATTTAAGTTTATAGATTTTTGTCCAACGAAAATGCCATGAATAAGAGATCATTGGAGACCATCATGGTGAAACTAAATTGTCAAAACCAGCAACCAGCAGAGGTACATAGAAAGATATGGAAGAGTCCCATACGAATGCAGGTTGAAACGAAGAAGAGTAGTTGGAACCAGAAACTTCAATACTAAAGAATCTCATAAAATTTCAAAGGAAACTTTGTTGTTTGCGAAATAATGGCGTGAAATTTACGCCGTTGGAATCCGGACGAGGACAGATCGGCGGTAGATAAAGAAACTTCAACCGACTTGGCGAACTGTCTAACAGAAAGGCCATTTGTAAACAAGGCTGGCTCGAAGGGTGCGGTTAAGAAACAAATTAGATGATTGATAAGATAAGAAGAAAGGAGTAATAGCCGCCGCACAATTCCCACTTCCAACTTCGACAATGTTGTTTAATTGTTGAATTTCGTGTAGCGAATAAGCGTTACCTGTTTAGTTTGAACTTGTACAAGCTGGACGAGCTGCTGGTGGAGTCGACGGCGGAGGGTTGCACTTTAGGTTTGTAGCCTCTTCTGGTGAAACTGGACGAGGTGGATGATTCGCTGGGCGATTTGGAGCTTTTGCTGGTTCTTCTGGAAGAGTAACGTTTTCCCGACGGGCTGGTCGGTGGTTCTTCGCTGTGTACAGACGGTTTCGGTGTAGTTTGTTTTCGGTTTCTACCGCCGCCGAATTTTTGCTGTTTCGGTCTTTGTGTGGTTGTGTGGTGTCTACATATGTATAATATTTACAAGGCGTTAGTGCTAGGGCATGCTTCGAAGATAACGTGGTGGTGGATATAGTATAGTACATGCGGTACGAGTATACAGAATTTATTTACGCATGCTTCAAGAGGTATTTACAAGGAAATTCAAATCCGATCGTACAATAAAAATGTAATTAAAAAGAGCCCGGTCGGCGAGAGTTCGGAAAACAAATTCCCTTTTTTCGCGAAAATTTACCAACGACAAGAATAGAATTTTAACGAGCCCCCGGAAAGCGACTTTCAAAGAGAAAGACGGTTTTTTTTCGGGTATACTTCATTGTGTACGAAACATCAACAACGAAAAAGATTTGTTTGAACAAAAACGTTCGTACTGCGACTTTTGCATCAAATAATTAATTTTAATACCCTTCCTACAATTAAAAACAAGTCCAATGGCTAACCAAATTTTGTAAAAACAGCACAAAGAAACCCATCCAACCAACCCATTAAAATAAACAAAAAAAAACCACCTGTAATAATATAATCATTCGATATATGAAGATACTTTACTTGGAGTTCCTAGCCGGCAGCGATTGACTCCTATTCTTCTGAGATTTCTTATAATTGGGCGTCGGCTCGTTGTCTTCCTCTGCGGCAACGGCGACATCCGATTCTTTGTGCCTGTTTTTGAACCTTTTGTAAGCGCTACCCGCCGGGCCGGAGGGCTTCCGCGCGGATTTTATGGAGTTCTGAGCCGCATCGGCCGATAGCGCGACCGGCTCTTCGTTAGTTTCGCCCAGCGGGGTCGCCTCGACGTGCCTCTGTTTATTTCCTTTGCCTAACGAGGGAGCGGCGGTTTTTAATATACGCAGGCTTTGTGTCGGCTGGATTTTTCTCGACGTGCTTTGAAGGACTTGGGCGTATTTGCCTGTGTGCACAAACCGAGAAAAAAAAAATGTTATTCGCTGCTTACTCGAATGCAGATGACGACGACGACGAAAGTTTCGTTAAAGAAAACGAATTAGGGGAAATGTAATGTTTTAAATAATAGCTTCGTCGAGTATCATAATTATTTTTCCTCGACGCAACTCGATTAGAAATAATTGCTACGATAGACAGACAGAATAAAAGAATTTAACTTTCGTCGCAGGTCTCATTAGGAGCCGAGAGCGGGAAGTACACTTTGCTGACAAAACAAAGAGCCGTTTCGCGTTTTCCATTAAAATTACTCGAAACTATTGTTCCGAAACTCCAATCCCGCTTTCTCTAACACCACTCGATCAACCTACTAACAATCGACTTCCCCAATTCCCGATACAACATCAGCTCACCGGATATGTAAGTGCCTATCACGCTGGTCTCGATGACGGTGGTGGTGCCGTCCTTCACCACGGTACCGCCCAATTTGGTCACCAAACCGGTCGGATGGGCATCACCACCCCTCTTGGTGGCTAGCCCGTTCTTCTTCGCCTCCGTCGCCGACCGGTGCTTCAGCAGGAACTTCGAACTCGGCTTCAGATTCACCACCTTGTAGGTCTCCTCTACCACCTCGGATGGCTGGCGCGATAGAAAATCGTATTCCGGTTCACCTGCATGCAACAAACAATCGAGTATATTAAAATTTTTTCGAATTATTGCGATAATTACCGATGTTATTGGCGAGTACGGGAGCCGGTTCGTTATCGGACTTGATGATGGTGACGATGTTGGAGTCCGGCGCTTTGTTGGACGTGATTATCGGAGGTTCTGCTAGCTTTGTGGACGCGCTAATGATGGAAGAGACGCTGGACGTCGTCCCTTCGACGATCTGCGATCAACTTATACGTGAATATATCGATTCGCAGTGGTGGTTTATTAATTACCTCGACGATGCTGCTCACGATGATGGGCGCCGATGATTGCTGGATTGTCGTCGATTTGATCGAAATTGAGGAAATGGCTCGCGGAGGATCGGATTTCAGTTGGACGATCGACGAGGCTTTTTTCTCCGAAGATTTGTCGATTTTATTCGACTCGGTTTTGGTCGGTTTGATCGGTTGGTCTTTCTTCGTTGTGAGCGGTTTCGTTTCTATCGCGTTGTTTGGAGAGATCTCGTTCGATGCCGGTTTGTTTTCTAAATTACCACAAAATGCATTATAAAATGTAATGTAGCCCAGATTAAACTGTCAGGAAAGTGATTAATAACTCCTGGCCAGTTTTAGGTAGCTTCTGGAAATTATTCAGTGCGTTATTTTAGAGCTAATTAGGAGAGGTATCCGGGAAGTTTTCAATAGGTTTTGAAATTTATTTACTCTCATTAACATACTTCTGGATTAGCTTAAATGCATTTCGAATAGCTTTTGAAAATCATTTACTTTCATTAATGTACTCCTGGAAAGGTGAATTTGCACCTGGAAAGTTTCTGAAAGGATTTAATAAATACATGCATCTACTAATTTGTTAGTACAACTCGAAAATATTTCTGGAAACTTTTTAGTAGATACAAAAAATATTAAAATTCATATATTCCTGGTGGCGTGTCGTAGAAAAAAGAATATCCGATTACCCGTCAATCAGAGAAAATCGAATTTTTCTCCCGGCTCTCGATTTTCAGTATAATTACCTACTGGCGCGGCGCTCTGGGGGGAGAAAACCATGACAGTGTTACCAATTGTCGTGGTGAAATCCAGGAAGCCATAGACTGTTTGAGTGACGTAATTTCCCTGGTCGCCTGGAGACGCCGTCTGGCTCGACAGCGTCGCCGCGGCGTCGTTGGGATTCACGAAGACGGGGCCCTGCGAGTGCGCTCCATTCGCTGCAAAATAGAAAAATCCCAACGTTATAATTTCATTTAAAAATTGAATTCTAAATAAAAACACCGAATATCGAATGAACAGAAAACAGAAATTCTAGCATAGTGAAACCGTTCCGGGAAGTTTATGAAATACGAGAGTCTGAAGTTTTCGGTCGTTTCCTCTGCGAAACTCGAGGAGAACTTCATCTTTTTCGGCGATCCTCGCGCCGTTACAATAAAGAACCGTAATTGTAGGTACAAAGAAAAAACTTAATGGAGTTCTTTTAACAACTCCGTAATCGTAAGTTTTCAGACACAATTGCGACTCCGGCTAGAACTTAACGGTTATTGTGCAACTTAATTTATTCGCTTTGTATAACACAATATAAACTTTAAATCTAAACTACGATAAATTCCAATTCGCGTAAAACCTCCTGTATGTGAGCATTGTATAAGAGAAGAGAACAATTCACGAATCAGCATTTTGCGATATTAAAGAGGTACGAGACATTCGAGAGATTTAATAAAGCTTTATTTAGGAAGAGCTACTTTGTTGCCGTATCAGCGGAATTCACGTCATAATTTCCGAAAGAAAACCTTGAATGAAAATAATTAAAATCCCGGAATCTATTTCGAGGGAAGAGAGACGTGACTGAAAAGTCGCGAAACGTTTCGAGCCACCTCGATATACACCGGCAGTGTTTATGAAAGGCCGGATCATGAAAGGCCATTCATATAGATTTAATGGAATTATACGGTGAGCTCGGCGGGAATTTTCTTCTATTGCGCGCGATTTCCACATTCAAATGAGGGGCCCGCGATTCAAAAGGGACGCCTCTTTTTCGCCGCCGCGGCGCCCGGAATTTGACTAATGAATGTAACCGTCGAGTTCTTTATGTCTTCCAGCGGCGAACGTAAAATCGACCCGGCTCGCTTTAATTGAAATCAGTCATTTTCCCAATCGACATCTTCAACGTTCAAATGTACCTGGAGGTATTAAAGAAACCAAAAAAAAATCTGGAATATGATGTACAGTAAATAATAATTAATTAATCAATCCAATTAATCCTTATTGCTGATGGAATTGTACATACATTAATTCTATAAAAAAGGTTGTAAAGAAGGTTTCGGATTGGAAAGAGGGATGCTGTCTGTGTTATATATCTATATAGAAGAGAATTGATGTATTATCCATTTGGGGGAAAATTCGATGGGATCGCGATTTTCAGCGTTGTATAATACGTTTTTGGATCGTTCCAGATACGTCACGGTTACATTGAAAACGCGAGGTCTTATCAGAAGCGGGTCGTCGGCCAGGCGGTTTAAACTGGAATCGGCCTTTTTTGATAAGGGTCGCCAGACAGTTTGAATCTTTTAATCTAATGCATAATTACTCCGGTTACTGTCTGAATCGGCTTTCGACGGCGGAGAACGGTTGAGTATTTACGTACGAAATGAAGGGGATTTTAATTGGAGGTGGGAAGTGTATAGGAATTTTCCCGAAATTCGAAATATTTTAACGTTTTCCCTTTTTTGTGTGTGTGTGTAGCTAGCTATGCGCATAATAAAAGGCCCATATTTTACGCCAATCGAAACGTCGATTCGTGTTTTTCGCTATTGAAACATTCTGGAAAAAATATTATTTCTTCTTTGTGTTATATAGGCGTCTACACGCTTCGACTTGCAAAAGGACCGGGATAAATCGGATCGTTAGTGCGGCTTTTGACGGAAATTTACAACAGTATAAATATGAAAAGAAAAGTTGATTTATGCCCCCATGCCGAAGACATTAACGCTGATATATTTTTCCAAATGGAGGCGTCCGTTTCTCCATTTCGCCACGCACTTACGCTCCATTTGCACCGAATGCTCAGCGTTCGTATTTAGATATTTTTTTTTCGCCACAGGAAATTTCTCCCCGTGCGCGCGAGACAATGTAAATCCGGGAAATACACCTAAAAACATACCAGCACATCTCAGTTATTTACTATCTCATAAATCTCGGCCTAACATACATCCTGAGATGGGAAAGTTTAAAGTAACTTCGAGGAATTGTAGAATTTATAAATCACAAAAAAACCGCAAGTTTTTTCGCCGCGAACCGGCGGAGGAATGGATGTGGCCGGATTAAATATGAAATTCAATTTTCTTTTTTGACAGCGCCGAACTTTCCGAATGCATGAATAAAAATTTTTTCCCGCCGACTTACAAACACCGTCTCGGGTTTATTAAAGTTTGTTGTCAAATCGCGCGTTTTGATCTATTGTTTCTCTTTTAACCAACTTTTAAGTGGGCTGTTTCAGAAGTGGGATTCCGTTGCGGAGTGGAATTTTATTATGAAATTGCGCCCGGAACCGCAACCGGTCAACCATTTTATATATTTATATAAGACGTTCTAACGAAAAACGTGTTAGCGTTCATTGTTATCTCGGAACCTCTCGCAATTTGCGGTCGAAAAGCGTTTTTATCCGGACTTTAATACCCGCGGGCGCCGTTAGATGGCACTCTGGAAAATTCAAAGCGGAGAAAATTGAACCGCAAATAAAATTGTTCCTATTTACAAAGAAATATACGTGCGCTCGAAATCGACCTTTTATTATCGACAATCAATGGAGTAGGTGGTATAAAAATTTCATTCGAAAATCGCCTATCCGGATTCGAATTCAATTTAACAGTAATCTAATAACGACGCACTTGTATATATTTTCGACGTTCCTTATGCCGATAGTTTATCGAGTTATGCAGGAAGCTTCCCTTGGTCGATAGTTCAAGAGGCATTTTACAGGAAATAACCTCCGGATAGGTATTAAATCCCCAACAACATTACTAGACCTCCTAAGGGGTGCATAAAAAGCGCATAGCGCAGTCGAGGGATATTGCATCAAGCCCGCAAACCGTATAGTCCGGGTCCAAAAAACCAAATTTCCCATCGACACTATTTTCAAACCAAACCAACGCCATTCTAATTAACTACCCGTCGATTAGTAACACAATCGATTGTTAATATACAGCGTAATTTATAACTCAAAGCAACGACTCGGCGCCTCGACTAATATCACACGAACGGTCCGGGGCAGTGACAAATGACATGTATAGGACCGTACACGATGCGACTTCGCGCGGGAAGAGAAATGGTTTTAATAATCGCCAGAACAATGAGTCGGTATTCCTGCGCTGGTATAACAAAGTTATATGTATGTGCACGGGCCCCGGCTAGATTGAAATTGCTGCGGCGACGTAAATCTCGTAAATTTTTCGAGGAATTCGCCCGTCAAAATTATAACGGGGTCCCCGTCAACCGATTTATGAAGTAATTACACATCGAGCGGGGAGGAATAATTCGTTCTTAAGCGTTCTTTGAATGCCTGACTTCGCATTGAAGTGAGCGATTAAGGTACCTTCTAATACAGGGTGTACTGTCATAGTGGGTTAGATTCTTAGTGGGATTCATTCTACTAAGGTCCTCTTTTGTTAGCTCCTAAAATATTTACTCTATTGTTAGAGACCTACCAGGAAAGTGGTAGGAAAATCGGGAAATTTTTCGCGGGGTTTTTGCATGCAATACGCGGATTATGAATTCGAAAAGAGGGAGTACACAGGTCGATCCGACTGTAAAACGTTCGTTCTGGTAAGTTATTTTGTGGATAAATAAATCGGAACTGGCCTGAAGCGAAATCGTAAATTTCAATTAGCGTTCGCGGCGCTGAAAAGTGAAGAAATTAAAAAAGTTTCCTCTGCAAAAATTACCCCTTATTGAAGCTGACTTACATCGCTTGAGTTATTGAGAAAGTGCGCTCCTTCATTTCCAAAAAAAAAATCACTCTTACAACAAATTGACCGGCTCTCGAAAACCCAATAAATTAATTAAATTACGCCTCGACGAATTAATTAAAACAGAGCCGATTTTTAATTATATATATACTCCACTCCGGTTAGAATACAACCGATTGTGTTTCCTTTATTTCGAATTTGAACAAAGTTGATGTTCTCCTGGGCAATAGGGGCTCGTATTAGGTGTATGAAAAGGACGAGACGTTTTAATTATATTCCCAGCTCCTCTGTATTATTTCACTAAACGTATTTTAGGAAATAATTAAACCGGGAGCGTAGCGTTAAATGTTCAACTCGGGTTATTAATACACAGGTATATTTTTTTTCAAAATGTAATCGCAAGTGGAGCGTTAGTTAACTTTAAAGAATAATTCCCAATGAATTCAACCGGACTTTTAGAGTTCTTGATCGTAATGTAGTGAGTAAAACGCGCCCTTAATTAACGATGTAATATCAAAATTAATATATATTTCGCGAATGCGATATTCCAGTAATTAATAAAATGGCGTTGTGTCGAGACGTCGCCGGCTCGAGAGCAGTTCAGAATGTCGCATAGTTGGTATATTTGCCGTGGAACAATTTATTTTCTTTGCTATGACGAACGACGGAAGCGAGTTATATAGCATTAAGGTCCCCGGAGGAATTCCCGGACCCATCGGGGGACCCGAAACGGTGCGATAATTATTGCTCTTTCCCTCTACGTGGACTTGTCGCGAAATTCCGGGCGATTTTTATACCGAAATTAATCGACACACCCAACTATATATTAGTATTTTACTAGTATATGTTATTCTTCGTAACGCCCTATATGTATATTAATAATAGCCATCACATAGCAATTTATTGCGTTAATTAATCTAATCAACTCGACGTTAGAGCACGTCCAATTAAACCGGGAAGAAGGAGAACTAACAGGACTAAATGACCGGTCGCAATTTTCAGCAACAGTAAGCACACGGAGAAGCGTTTTTTCTTTTTTTTCTCTTCTTTATTTTTACGAGCGCGCCCTTTGAGTGTCCGAATCGCCGGTCGAGCGACGAATTTTCCGGAGAAACGGGACGAAATTCGCCTTTAATTCGTCCAACATCGGCCGGTTTTTATCGTTCATTTATCCAGTTGAAACTGGAGAAAATTCATCGATACACCGGGGTTTGATTGAGCGTTTATCGCCCGACGTGTTTTCGAGCGATTGTATTTTAACATGTAAAACGGTTCAGTTGTTGCATTTATTTGCCCACTTCGCGTTGTTTTCGAGCGAATTTATTAGGAAAATATTGCCGGCGATTTAAAAATCGTTTCGATTTTAAACACGAATTAATTGGAAAATACGAAATACGCCCGGGCGAGGTTCGAAGTTCGAACTTTAATTTTATCCGCGTTTTATTTATTATATGGGATATCTACAGGGAGATGAAAACGATCGCGGACGGCGATAAAATATTTTTTTTACGTTTCGTACGGGTTTTTTTGACTCGGGCAGACGGGGGAAAAAAGTGATATATGGCTGGGGAATCCGACCGCATCGAAAGAATAAAAAATATCTCACGTCTGTGACCGCGCTTAATTTATAACGCCCACCTACAACTCCGGTCTGTCGCGCGATTTTCGGCGGAATTATTGCCCGTTTTCCCTTCTTCCTTTAAGCGTCTTTAATAAATTCCGAATATTCGAAATGTACCGAATTACATTTAATATATTAATACATATTCAAATGCGAAACATTATTTATTCCGCGCTCAAATAAAAAAACGCCCTCATTCGCTGTTCGTTCTCTCGCAAGGGAAAAAAATCAATTTGAATATTCAATTTCGACCCCGAGCAACCCCCATAAATGAATCATAAGTTTCCATTTAATATAATGCATTAAAAAGTTGTTAGGGACGAGAAAAATTCAAATTTTTACGCTCGGACTTTCAATTTGAATGTCGTTTGCATTGATTAGAGTAATGAATTGAATTAACGCACAGACTTTGATATTAACGTTGTTAATTAAAACATGCCCTGTATAATAAAACTACGCGGAGGAGTCTTATTTCGAAACGAATAATAAAATTATCGGAGTTTCGTAGAAGCTTACGTTTCGTGGAGAATTTTTTTTAACATACCGTTCCATTTCCCAGCTAAAATTACTTGAGTAAACATTCCCTTTAGCCCTAAAAGTACACAAAAGGTCTGACTGTTATTCCGACCGATGTTTGCTTCTCTCTCCTCTGCTTTCTTATTTAAACTCATTATCCTCGCAAACAGGAGGAACAGCTGACACTTGGGCCAATTTTCATGTAGATGTTCCCGTAGATAGATGGTTAATTGATGATTAGTCTTTGCGAGCCGAGTTCGGTTCGGTTTGTCGAGTCAGTGCAACTCGAACTTTGACTATAAACTTAAACGCTTGTTGCTGGTTAATTTCGAATTTCGCTTCTAATTCCCGGCGAGATAAATCGTCGGTCTGTAGCTGATCCGCTAGGAATCGGAGGAAAAAAGAAGCGGAAAAGCCACGCCGGAATAATATGCTATTACCAGTGGAAGACAGAGCCATGGCGTGCTGACTTTTTGCAGGCATTAGTCTAGTTGATGAATCGCTTTTTGCACCTATAATAAAGCGAAAATCGTTATTCATGCCTCCTACGCGATAGGAAACGGTGCTTTTTCCCATATTATACATTACACGAATTATTTAATACACCTTTCGTTACACTGTAATAAAATAAACTTCCTCCGACTTTTGCGAGAAAGATTTCATTTTACACTCGTGAATTTTTTATTGTTTTCGGTTTGAAAAAGACTTGCTCGACGAAAATATCGTGAAATATTATATTCACGGCGTTCAGGAAATTCGCAGACTTCTTGTACATAATGGATGAGTATTCAATTCCATGACATCCGTGTCAGTTTTACAGGTTTTATCTGCATCGCAACAAGTGAATGGTATAATGCGAGAGGAGCCGGAATACGAAATATTTACTAACTTTAAACAGACAGTTGAAATTTTCTTCGGACGTTTATTAAATTAACTCAACGCTATTAGAAATAATTATCTAGAATGCGCTGTTGTTCTAATAAAAAGACTTCTCTTTATGTATAAATCATTCATTTAACACGCTATCGGAAAACGTAAAAAAGAACGTTAATAACAAAATACTTTCAGGGCTCGAACGAAGTATTCGAAATCTGTCGAAATATCATCAAACTCCATCCATCTCCGAAAAGATTTGTTTGTTTTGGGAACAACGGACACATATTGGGAAAGTTTCGAATATTCGGGGATAGAGCATCAGGAATCCCTGCGATAAAGCGAAAAGAGAGAAAAAAACTATTCCTGCTGACATGGGTCGGACGTCTGTATTGGAAAGGCCAGATTAAAGTTAATCGCATGATCTGATAGTAATTGATCAGCATTGTGAGATCGGAAACTTTATCCTTTCGCCGTTAGGTACAGCGACTCCTGCAGGGCGACTCCTGCGATAACATCGACGGATGTCGTCGACCAACTTTCCCCGAAAGAAAAAGAAACCGGATTAGAAGGACGATCCTCGGAAGGATCACGTTCCCAAGTTACATATACACTAATACTTCTTTCATTAGGTTCGGTAAATCCCGTTTTTTCAACACCTAAAATTATTTTAATCGACTCGCCGAACTCACGCCTGTTAATCGAATCGACTTCGCAGCTATTCGGGCAAAGGGTCTAATCTACAAGTCATTACAGACCCTAATTTGACGCCATTTTGATTCGTCCGAATTAAAGCAACATCAATTTATTTAGCCGGAACGTAAATGGCGCCGCGCTCGGGGTCTTTGATGAGTTCCATCGATTGCGCCTAATTAGTTATAAACAGATCGAATTACATTGTCTGTTTGTCAAACGGAATATATATCTATCTATAAACGTCGCGCGATTTAATTTCAATTTAGTAATTAGCATGCTTTGCCAACCGAAACTAATATTACAGGCACTAATAATATAGTTCTGTATGCTATATTTACCTAACGTTATTTCGGGTAATATACATTCTTCTTTTCTATATAGTATATTCAAGATAATTTAGTGGTTGCGTATATTATGCTGTGTTGCCATATTGTCGTATTTTTCTTAGTATATTGTGCTAATTGTTGATTGCAATATATCGTTCTTAACAATGAAAATTCCAATTAGGTATTGGATGCAATGTCACGATGCGGTAATTTCAGCATGAATTAGGTGTGGCGAAAAAACAGCCGGTCGACCGCCTAGCAAACATCCACAGATGTGTGTGCATGTCCTCGGTTAACGGTAAATACCGTAGATTATTCGAACCGAAGGTTATGCGTGTTTACTAACGTGAGCTGCGTAAAACGCATCGCGTTTGCGATCCGTTACAAGGTCGCTTCTGGTGCATTTTTCCCGCGAAGAAAATATCCATTAATAATGGAAATCCCGTCGCGTCCGATCCGTGGGATTCAGTCCGGCCGATCGAGCGCCGAGCATTAGGGGAAGCTTTGAATTTCCCGTTTGCCAAATAGGAATTTGTCCTGCGATGCGTAACCGGTCGCTGTACCTGTTCCCGTTGTTCCCTTAATCTCCTACGGACGGGAAGTGCTTCTACGCCGAAACGTGGAACATCGAACATCGCATTGAATACCGATCGGGAGGTAATCCGGCGAAATTAGAGTTGCATTCGGAATTAAGCTGTATTGAATGTGTTTTTTTTTCTAATCGATTCTACTCGTGCTGCAACGTTTCTGATGCATGTTCCTGCACCCTGTATATGTATATCTCTTGTAGAACGTTTGGTGGAGGTTGCGGTCAACGTATAGAAATTCTGTTAATGGAAAACGAAAACTGTACTTACCCGCAAAGAGTAGACAACACGCCAACAGAAGGGAACGTGCTTTGGAATCCATTTTAATCTCCTGTGATCAGCGAATCGAAGTTTTAATACATTATCAGCGGACGAGATGATTGAATGGAGGGCATACAAGTTTCGACGGCTGTTTGGCGGTTTACCTGAAAATGAGATGCTCATTTATCATCGTTTGCTTGGATTCGAAATATCGAAAAACCATAGTCGGTACTTCACATGTTTAGAAATTCTATAACATTTATTAATTTGTATTATATAAAGTCCTTATTATTACTAAATGTTACACTCTCTCCATACACCACAAATTAATCAAAATTAAAATAAAAATTTAAAGGTATAGAGAAATTAGATGGTAATTTGAAATAATGGCGGATACGCCGCTGGGCAAATAATAATGGGTGTGACCCCCCCATAAGCTCACAATCGATCATTCGACCTCAAACTACATACAAAAATTTAATGAATGCTCTAATCAAAAATCCGTTCCTTTTTCGAATGGGTTCTTTTTGTTTCGAATTTATTACAAAGCAAATTGATGAATCGAGCGGTAAACGAAAATCGTTCGGTAATATTTGCGCTGAACGAAATAAAAATGTATCGGTTTATTCCATCGGGAAATACCCAAATTTTTTATTGGGATAACTGAACAACTTAATTGATTTAATATATTTTAATTGAAATGGTCGAAAACTATATTGGTAAATACAACAAAAGAGGGCGCAATCTGTCGCAAGGAATCCGAGCTAAAATGCACGACCCCTAAATTCTGTACGTGCTGCGGATTATTGGAGTGATATTTTAAAGTTTGTGTCAATAAAACGGAATTGTTCCGTAATACATATAAATTCAAAGTGTTATTGGAGTTCTATCCCAGGAATGGCGTTGCGGAACGCTTCTATATTACCGGCGAATCTGCCCTTTGAATAATAAACCCAAATTGAAAGCTGTAAGTCACTTTGGACGGCCCTTTTTTTCCGAAAAAGCTTAAGGGTTAAACTTTTTTATTTCCTTTCGAGACGGAAACGAACGCTTTTGAAGCGGGAGAGTGATTTCGATGAAGATAATTACCCACCTTTTACTTTCTGTTTTTTTTTTCTTTTATAGGTGTATGCAGGAAAAATACGAGGAACGGTCGTTAAGTAAGTTCTCTAACGCATTCAACAACTCCTCGACATCGTTGTTAAAGTGCGTTAAATTTTATAGTTCGAATTACCGTAAGTTCTGGGAGTTTCTCGGACGCGACAGGGCGACATTTGTAAAAACGTCTTAAATTACTTTAACACTCCTGCGGGGCGGGCGACTGCTTAAACTTCCCGTCTTTATTGTAGTCATTAAATTTTACTGCTGCTTCACTCATATTTCGCGCGTTAATAAATTCCAGAAAAATCCCCGTTCGGAAGTAAAGTTGTTAGATGTGGAAATCTAGAGGAAAGATATCGACTTAGTTCTTTGTTTTCAGGCCCTACGGAGAATTGATATTTATGATCACTCGGCCGGAAGTTATTGGAAACTTTGCGAGTTTATGCTTATGTACGCTCAGGTAGAATAAACTTACTACTAGGATTATAAAAAAAATAAAATTTACTGCCCATAAAATTCACCACACAACACACATAAATATCTAATTAACCCAAACAATTTAATTAATTCCTGCATCGCAGTAAATCCGGACTAATATAATTGTTTCCCTTATCGTTCCTGCGAGATTGAAAGTTGGATTAAATTTCAAATCAAACAATCGATTATATACGCAGTTTCATCCGTTTAGTCGGAATACAAACAGATATACGAGAGAAACTTTTACTTTGAATTCAACAATAAAATCAGGGACTCCAACTCAATGAATATACAGGGCAAGTTAGAATAAGTAAACGAGCAAACGTACAATAAAAATCTATATTTTTGCACTCAACTTGCACTAGATTTCTGATATTATGCTTCCCGACTAAAAGCCCCCATTCCAATTCTTCCAATTTAAATCTACCGATGTCTATCTGTTCCGCTATAACCAAAGTTTATTGGCGGTCTCCTGCAGGGATGCATTTAAAGTCTCTCTCTTATTTGGAGTCGGATAAGCTTCCTCTATGTCTATTTATTCTACGATTTCGTCGATAAAATTATCCGATGGAAAATAAGAGAAGTGTATCAAGTTTTGAGTAAATTGTCGAATGGGAAATAATTTATATTGCACTGGAATTTACTGAGAAATTTAGCGGGAATCAAAGTTTTAAATTGTAAATTAAATGGAAATTACTAATTAATGTGCGTTCTATTCGTATAATGAATTGTCTTTAGATGCAAATGAGCGCTTCGGATAATTAAGTAAATTACAATTTCAAGATGCAATTGATGCAATTTTCGATAAAGTCGGAAAATATAGATGTTTGCCTAGGTGTATAGAAACTTTTAATTGTTGCGTGAACTGCGAATATACGTAAAATAACAGCAGGTAATTAACTCGAAATATTTCGCCTACAAAGCGGAGTTGAAAACTTTTTAGATTGTTGCATTAATTAAACGGCCTGTCCGTTCGGAATTTCGAATTAAAAAACTGTCTCGGTTTAAATAAAACGAAAGGAAAGTGTGTCGTTTTATCCGGCGGCTTCTGAAGCATCCGCGTCGCGCCGCAAGTAAGTGTATTAATGCATACGATGGTCGGGAGTTTTTTAATAAAAACTTGCAGCGAAATGAAATCGTAAATTCGAGAATTTCTAAGTCAGCGGGAAAAAGAGAAGGAGGAAATTTACATTTTAAGGAAAACTGAGATAGCGTTTTTGCAAGTGATGCAGGATTTCGAGTGTACGGTTTTAGTTTCCAAGACGCTACGGAATATTAAATTATGACAATAATTTCGTTAGTTTCGTAATATTGCGCTCTTCTACGTTTTTCTATTTTACTTCGGGTCGTTATTTTGATTTCGGTTTTTATTACATTATTTTCATAATTTACTATAGCACACTAACATTTCCTATATACACATACAACGAATAACAAAGTAGGCAATTAATAACTCCGATGTATTTAATTAAAATCTGATATAGTACATCGTGTGTATCTTTATGTACAACAAGCAGCGATTCCCCCCATTAACATCTGTTATTAAGTGAAACTTTCGCATATTTTACAACCGGTAAAATTATATTTAAACGGATAAAATCAAACGCGGCAAACAATTATTCCAACGGAAACCGATAGACAAACGTTAATATTATGGAGTTAGTAAGTTAATCTCGTTCATATAGGTTAGCCGTAAACTTCCGATCACGTCTTGAGGGTAAACAGCTCCCGACTTAGTTAATCCCCACACATCAAAACAAGATTATTAGACGTAACAGGATCAGTTAATCAGCACAAACAGGACGCACAGTTTAGTTTGCTCGCTCATGTGTATACCACAGAGACGACATAATGCTATTAAACTATGCATACACCATCAAAAGTTTATTTTTTTTTTCATTAGCTATTTATTAGTGGCGTTAATTACTCGCGTTTGTGCATTGGCCTTTTAGCTCTTCAATTTTGTACAATTCTTAAACATATGACAATTTAATTAACACACCTCTCGAAAAATTCTCCATTTATACTCATGGTGTAATTAGTAAAGTAGGTGAAGTCAAATAAATTTGGAATTATATGGTCATAATTTTAGTGTGAAAGATATTTTAGACTAACCCAAATTACTCACATTTTCCAATACATTGTTAAGTTTTTCTCACGAACGTTTCGTAAATGCATTACCTACGTATTATTTATTATACTAGTGATGTGAGTATTTCACGGATTAATTGTGAATGGATAATAGACTCACGTGCTCGCGAATGTGATGAATGTCGGTTTGATAATTAATTCGCGTCTTTCTCGAGCAAGTTCAAGGAAAAGGATCGTGTGGGTGGGTTGTCGGCGATAACATTCTTCCGCTGTATCGAGAAACTGGATTGATTTGCTATCTATTCATGAATTATGGAGCGATTATCGGCTCTTTATAGTCTATTGTTTCGATTTATAACAGTAATTGTGGGCGACAAATTCGCCGAATTTGGTAAGAAACGAGCGATTTGAATAGTGCAATGTAATCGAGCAGGGCGTGAATTATGGACTACAACCTAAAACGGCGCGACGGGATTAAAAATGATTCTGTAATATATGGCAAAAATCTGGTATACGCAACTTTTAGAAATTGTGATTGATTCGTCCGAAGCGATTCGATATCCGAATGATATACGGCGAACGATTAATAACTGGAATTCCATTGGAAATGGAAACTATCCTTGCTCGGGTGATTTACGTCGACGTCGAGTCGATAATTTTCGTCTTAATAACCGGACGAAATGATATAATAATCTAATAATTATCGCTTTTTATGGTCTAACCTACATCACATATACAACTATTCGACCAAAAAAGAAAACAAACACAAGGAGTGCCCTCGTGTACAATTTATTACTTATTTTTTCCTCACTTACAATACTATTTCAAACGACCATTCTACTTTTACAATATCGCTTGAAAAATAAATTCCCTTGACCAAAATAATCCACCAAATTACAATTAAAATACAAAGGATATTATAATATTTAGGGCGTAATTCGGAATTCATTCGGAGTTAACAAAGAAATTCCTGTTGCTTTTATCTTTTGCGCAAATATTTACTGCAAGAGAGCCTCGTTTTTGCGCGAATTCGCGAAACGGGAATACCTGCACGAGCAGCGCCGGTTTTCTTCCACCGCCGGTCATTCAATTAACCCCCGTTGTTGCGTTTAATTAAAACAATACGGTCCTGCAGCTACAGAAAACAATTTTCCACAGATCCTTTAATACAACCCCCGCCGACCGCTCGAACATGTACCGCGAACAGAGCGGTAATTAATTCTCATCAAGCAGCAAAAAGAATCCGAGAAACGCCAGAACGCTATTAATTGTACAATCAAAACCCCTCCAATCGAGGCGCTGAAACGCCAAAGAAAAAAAATTCACTTGATTACCGGCCGAACAACGAACAATCCAAGTCGCATAAAAATTCACCCGAGCAACACATGCAACATCCAGCCGCATTAACGCTCCGCCGAATGCATTTTCGCCCTCCGCCCGGCTCCTGACGGACCAAACAAAGTGTATAACACAATTAAAATGTCCCTATGAAGTT